GGAAATGAAGAATACAATTTCCAAATTGAAGAACACAGTAGAAGGATCAAAAGCTCAGTAGATGAAGTAGAGGATCAAATCAGCAAGCTTGAGGATAAGGTAGAAAAAAGCTCCCAGAAAGAGCAAGAAAATGAAAAAAAATACTCAAAAAGAATGAAGAGGCATTGAGGGAAATGCAGGACAACCTGAAATGTAATAATATTCATATAATAGGGATACCAGAAGGAGAAGAGGATGAGGAAGGGATAGAGAACCTGTTTGAAAAAGTCATGATGGAAAACTTCCCTCATTGGAGGAGAGAAAAAGTCTCTCAAGTCCAGGAAGCACAGAGGGTCCCATTCAAGAGGAACCTAATGAGGCCCACTCCAAGACACATCACCATTAAAAATGGCAAATATCAAAGACAAACAGATATTCCTAAAACAAGCAAGGGAGAAAGAGGTAGCAACATATAAGGGAGCCCGGATACGGCTAGCATCTGACATCTCAGCAGAAACCCTGCAAGCCAGAAGGGAATGGCAAGAAATATTCCAAGTCATGAAAGCAAAGGCCTGCAACCAAGACTGCTCTACCCAGAAAGGCTCTCGATTCAAATGAAAGGTGAAATAAGGAGTTTCGCAGACAAAAGAAGGCTAAAAGAATACACCTCCACCAAACCAGCATTGCAAGATATGCTAAAGGGACTGCTTTAAGAAGATGAAGAAAAAGAGTCTATGAATACCCAGTTCCTTTCAGAGTTGCCAATACTTGATATTACCAATATTTTTAATGTGTATTAATCTAACTGTGACAATGATGTCTTAATTGTTCCTTTATTATTTGATGAAGCTAAACCTGTTTTTGTATATTTCTTGCCTATTTCTATTATTTTTAGAAAGCTTTAAATGACTTTTTGGTATTCTTTATTCCTTTTTTTAATTAAATGTTTGTAGAATTTTTGCCCTAAAATAAACCCTATTAACCCTTTTTTAGATGTGTTGTAAATACTTTCCCATTCTATTACTTGTCTTTTATCTTTTTTACATGTATATTACTGTATAGTCTTAAATGCTTAATATAGTCATAATTGCCAATATTTTCCTTTACAACTTCTGGGTGTGAATAATTTACTTCAGCATGAGAAAAATATTATTTTGTATTTCCTCCTAAAACTCCTTAAATTCTACATACTGATTTTTAACTCACCTGAATATTTTTTTGTATAATATGTGAATTAGAGCTCTATATTTGTTTTATTTCAAGTAATAATGGTCCATACACAATATATGTTGAATAAGCCTTATTTTCCCCATTGATTTGAAATATCAATTGAATCATATATTACATTGTTACACAGATATATATGTTTGTTTCTAGAATGCTCATTTTATTTCATTGATTTACTTGATTATTTCTGTACTGTTGTCATGTTTTCATTGCTGAGACTTTATAATTGATTTAAATTTCTAATATTTTATAATGGATCTTGACATAAAAAATAAGTAAAATCAATCTGCCTTTTTAAAAAAAGAAAGAAAGGTAGGAAGGAAGGAAAACTCTTACCTTTTACGACAACATGGATGGAACTGGAGAACATTATGCTAAGTGAAATAAGCCAGTTGGTGAAAGACAAATACCATGTGATCCCACCTAAAAGTGAAATCTATTCAACCAAATAAACTAACAAACAAAATAAACCACAGGCACGGAAACATGGAGCAGACTGGAAGTGACCAGAGGGGAGGGGGAAAGAGGGCACTGGTGGAAAGAAGGGGAAGGGACTAGACAAAGAACATGTATGAATGACCCAGGGACATGGACAACAGAGTGGGAATTGACTGTGGGAGTGGGGGGTGGGTGGGATGGGTGGAAGAGGGCAACGGGGGGAAAACTGAGACAACTGTAATAGAATAAACATGATTTAAAAATTAAAAAATTTAAAAAGATTTTGATAGTTCTCACAAACTTTATAAGAAAATTTATATTGAGTCTGTGTGTGTCCTACCTCATGAATAATGAAGAAGAATAAGAAAATGGGCAGGTTTTATCTTTACAACACAGGCACTATTTGTTTTGCTTTGTTTTGTTTTAAGAGAAAGAATGATATAATACTTCAATCATTATTCAATTTTTAATTAAGAGGAAGAAACATCAAACTCTATCCACTAAAGTTTTTAAAAGTAATTTAAAGCCCATTAGTTTTGCAATAAGGCCATGGTGTATTAACTAAGAGCCAAGGGAATTAGGTCCTAAACCTGGCTCTGCCTCAAGTTCAGGGGCAGAGCCTTAGAGTAGCCACTTAATCTGCCTAAGTCTCAGTTTCCTCACTGATACAGCTGGACCACTTTCATCTTGATGATCTGATTCTGTGAAAAGAGAGAGAAGACGTTTGGTGGAAAGGAGGTGGGTGCAGGGAAAGCTATAAGGAATAATAGAAAAAGGTTGGAAGAGAGAAAGAAAGGCTCTGGGAAAGGGAGATGAATGTGGAGGATGTGCAGGGAGATGGAGATAAATGAGACAGAGCAAAACAAAGGGATGGTTTGAGAAGCAGATGAAGTCAGAGAATGGAGAGGGATGATAATTTTTTTTATTGTGAATGCTTCTTATTTTTTATTTTTATTTATTTGTTTATTTAATGAAAAAGAAAACACAATATATAAACCTTTAGCACTTGGATGATAATTTCAGTGGGTTCTCTCTTTGTGTGCCAGAGTTGTACTACTGCCCATCTCACTCTTCTCTCCTAGATTGTGGTTACTAGAGCAGACCATGACGTGCTCTCACTACATGTGCAATTTACAATTCTTTTTCCCCAGAGGCCTGCTCATCTGGCTTTCTTTTCACATCTCCAAGAATATCTATGAAATAAGGGCTGATTTTATGTGCAATTCTGAAGGGTGTGCATCTGTGTGTACAATCAAAGTGTGAATTTATATCAATGTAGTACAATGTTATATTACATCCTTAGAGAAGCTTGTCCTTTCCGATTTCTCTAGGAACATTTTCTGGAACTCCAAGATCTTCCAATAGCAATTCTCATGAAAATTTGATTTATTTTAAACAGGAACTAGATATCATATCTTTTTTAAAATACCCTTAAAAGAGAACTATTTAGAAAGGCAAATTAGTCCTCATTGTTTGATCTGTTGATTCTCTTAACTTAGGTTCCCTCCTAGAGTCCTCTTCAGCTATAGCCTGGTAGTTTTCTAGTTCTAGCTGTATTTTTTTTCCACCCTACCATCAACCTAATGTTGACTTCATTGTGTGGTATTATTCTCACTAACACATTCCTTTTGTGCAGATAAAGGTCCTCGTTTGGGCCTTTACACAGTTTGGGTGTACACAGTTCAGAAATACTCATCGTCCGATTGACCTGCAGTCATTATGGGAACTAACTGAATTCTCTGCCTCTGTCCCAAATGAAGAAATATCTGGCAGATTCTTAAAGAACATTTACATACAAATGTTTATTTTTTCCCATCTCAACTCTACACTATAATCTTCCAACTCCACCAAATAAAATATACTACAATTCAACACATAGATTTTTCCATAGAATCAGAGAGAGAATTGTGGCATATCCTAGCTAAAATAGGCCTTTAGATGTCTCTTGGTCGAGCAATTCTCAACACTACCTGCACATATAGGGGAACTTTTAAATACTACCATTGCCTAGCCCAAACCCATAACAAATAAATCAACATTACTAGGGGTGGAGACTGGGCTTAGGTTTGTTTTTTTTTTTAAGTTTCCTATGGAGATTCTAATAAGCAATCAAGATTAAGAATTTAGTTCAACCCCTCAGTTTACAGATGAAAAACCAAGAGATTGCCTTAAGTAATTGAGATTTACTTCAGAATATTAGAGGTGTCAATGTATGTGTAAAACCATCAGCCCATACCATTTGACATCCAAAAGCTATGTGATTATCTTATCTTTAGTCTGAGAGAGTAAAACTGTCAATTCCCCAATATCTTAAGTTTATATTTAAAGCAAATTAAGTCCAAGGCGAGATCCAGAGGTTTCCTGCCACACATTTAAGTCAAATCACTCAACTACACTGAGAAAATGTATACCATGCCACTTTTGGTGTTTTAGACCCCTGTCAATTATTTATCCAATGGATGAGAGCTTTCACTTGGAAAACCCAATGTGGTAGGCAATTAAATAACCCATTCTGTCTTGTTTTAGACTTCCTTTGTAGTTACTATTGAAGTTTAGAGTGTTTGATGCTTTGGGGAGTATCTTCACACAAAATAAGGAAACCACACTGGGATGGCCTCACTTAGGAGGGACAGAAAGCAGTCTAGTTTCCCTTTTACCCCCTGTTTAACTCTTTCCTCCTGAGAAGAAACAATTCATCTCTCCAACTGATGCAAGATTTGTTCTGGTTGCCAAATTCCAGTATCTTAAAACAAGGGGTCAGAATTGGCCTCTTAAAGCTTGAAAGACAGAAACTCAAGTGAAAGAAAAAGATTTCTATTTTACACAGAAGAAGGCAACCTGTTACTACAAGAGTCAGTATAGGCTAAAAAAATTAATTAATGAATAATTTTAAAAAGTATTATTTCAATAATATCATAGGATAACAGGTATAAGAAGAACAGCTGGCATTTCAAGAGAAGGGTATGCCCAAACCCTACTCTACCCAAACATCTATCTAGACATCCTGTCACAAACAGTTGACTTAAAAAGTCATTTCTTCTATTATTACATCTATAGCTTCTGGAAGGAGTGACACGATAAAGTGTTTGGGTCTCACAGCTCTTTCTACATGCATAGTAAATACATGAAGCTGAAAAATCAATGAAGTTATAAGTAAGTATAAGATTAGTTGCTAGGGAAAATCATTGTCAAAAATGTCAACCAAACAAGTCCATAGGGGATAACAGACAAAAAAAAAACAAACTGAAAAGTCTTACCAAAAGTCTCCAATATTTTTGCCCACAGACTAAATCCTAAATCACTGCCTAATTTTAAAACACAAAAGGCAACAGATGAGAAAGCAGTTGATATCCTACTTCATAAATCGCTATGTTGGAGTTTTCATAAGTAGCTGGAGTTAAGACTCCCTGAAGAAAAGGAAAGCCTTGGGGACCTCCCACTTTGGACCTCTGAGGTAATTTGGAAGCTTACACTAACATGACTTCCTTTCTGTGAACGTATTAAGAAAAAAGGTTTATAAAAAAATTCTCATGATTTAGGACAGAGCACTGAGCTATGGTATAGATACTGTGTTTACCTGTTTTCTTTCCTTTTTATTCCAAAGAAAGTAGCTATATGAATTAAACTCTGTAAATGAGATTATTTTCCCTATCCCCAGTACTTTTTTTAGGCCAAGGTTGGTACCATGCTTTAACTTTATATACCACGAAAGAATGGTATAGATTTCCAGGTACTTCCATGTCCTAGAGAGGATTAGAATCATAGATTTGGAAGGACAAAAAAAAAAAAGAACACTAGTCATAACTTAATCTGGGGCCTTCATTTTATAGACAAAAATGAGAAAAAGATAAAAATTTAGCATTTTGAAAGAAATCAGTTGCAGAACTAGGACAAAATCCCATCCTTCTGTCTTTCAGGCCTGGCTTTTGTTGTTGTTGTTGTTGATGTTGTTATAACGTCTTCAATGACATCCTTCTTTGTGCAGGCAAGATTAATGGCAGAAGGTATCCCATAAAGCAATAAAATCTAGAGAGTCAGTAGATCATCTCCCTGTGATTTATTAGTCTAATGCTTAAAAAGGCCAAATCCCCTCTTGCTTGATTTGGTAACTTGTACACATAAGTTTGGTAACAGAGGGCTAGGAAGTGCAGAGTTGAAAGCCAAAATGAAGAGTTATTTGCAGTCTATGTTAACCTTTAAAATTAATCACCTTTATCTTCAACTAAACCTGCAGACTTATTTCTCATGAAGAAATAATAAATCAACAGGTTCCTCATATTTTTCTCCATGTCTTCAAATATGCCTTTTTTTAGAATTATAGCAATTCAAAGCTAGTAGTTACATTTGATACTCTCTGAGCCAGCTCCCACCCACAACTCTAACACCCTCTTTTTATAATGAGGAAATAGAAACCTAGAGAGGGATGTAAGGACTGGAGGAAGAATATAGATGTTACATGTGCTGGTCTTGTGTTCTTTCTATCACATCATGCTTTGTTTCACTCTTCCCTGCCAACAAAATTTAATTTTAAGTACTTTCACACACTCTTCCTTTAATGGCCTTTGATAAACTGAAGATCCTACTTGCTTTAGGCCTATGTTAAGCTAATTTTACCAAGATAACATTGTAACAAAATCCCAAGGCAATAGTAAATTATATCTATCCCCTAATGTATTAAAATCCCAACAGCTCAAGATTCAGACAATATGTAAAACTTGACTCTTCACTCTTACAGCAGAGCAAGGCCAGTAAGGCCTTTCACTATTTATTTTCTTACCTCAGCAGGAGCACCTAGATGTGTACATTGAGATACAGACCTCTCTATTAGGGGCAAAGGAGAAATCAAAAGTATCTGTCAAAATTCATACACATTTGGGCTTCAGCTTCACTTTCCTCTAAAAACTTCCTTTCCTGACCTGATTTCTACAAACCTGCTAATTTTTCTGGACGAAATTAATTCTATATTCACCAAGAATTTACACTTTCAGACATTCCATTTGCATGGAATTCTTGGCTTGGCTTCTTTACTGATTAGACACAGCCAGCTATAAGTTTGGAAACTTGTATAGCCACCTCTCTTTTCCCTTCAGAACCTGTGATACAAGCCAAGTGCCAAAAGATACGGAGGCCAAGAGCTACGTTCTCTTAGGGTAATGCCATATTTTTCAATCTGGGCTAAAATAGTAAAAAAAAAAATAATAAGAGAAAAATAAAAAGAACATTCTCTATAAGGCTATTAATCTCTGTTGCTATTCATTTTTCTCACTCATATGGTGAAAAATGATGATTTTTTTTCTCTCATTATGTCAAAATATAGGCACAAATGAAAGAAAAGGTCTGCCATAATGAACAGGATTTTAAAACCCCAGACACTTTGTTCATCTTGAAGGAAGCACTATTCTGCTATTTATAGTGATTTAGAAAGAATCAGTATGGAACCCAAACACATTTTGTGCCTCAGTAGGAAAGTGAGAAGGCACAGGTGAGGTTTTATAGACATTACTTGACTATTGCAAGGCCTGTACAAAGAAAAGGCTAATTCAGTCCAGAATTGAGCAATGTTTATTATTTTGACACTTTAGAGCCAAAACATTTAGTCAATGGATATGAACTGTCATTCTGACATGGATAACACCAAAGAAGTATGGATTTAAAAAATAGATTTATTGGCTTCCAGCCAATGGAGGCATAGGTAGACTAGCCAATCTCTCAGGAGTCTGTTTAAAGAAATATACACAAACCCACCCACTCTTGAAATCAGCATCATGGCAGCAACTTGACAGGCACCAGATGCTTAGGGAAAGTGGGAAAGTGAGTAGAAACAGAGTGAGGGCTAAGCAACAGGCATTATTTCCTCTCTGGCCCCTCCTCCACATAGAGTGCTGCAAAGTGGAAAAGTGGGTTGTAACACCCTGGTGAATACCTAAGGCTCTGCCCCTTACAATGTAACAGGTGCACCAACAGAAGCCAAAACAACTCTACTTAATACACAGAAAGATAGGGAGACTGAAAGACTGACAAACTCCAGGAAAAAAAAAAAAACTAAATGAAATGGAGATAACCAATCTATCAGATTCAGAGTTCAAAACACTGGTGATAAGGATGCTCAGAGAAATGACTGAGTACAGCCACATAATAAAGGAAGAAATGAAGGCTATACAAAGTGAAATAAAGAAAAATATACAGGAAACCAACAGTGAAGGGAAGGAAGTCAGGGTTCAAGGCAACAACTTGGAACAAAAGGAAGAAATAAACAATCAACTGGAACAGAAAGAAGAAACAAGAATTCAAAAAAAATGAGGAAACGCTTAAGAACTTCTGTGACAACTTTAAATGTACCAACATCCAAATCACAGGAGTGCCAGAAGGAGAAGAGGAAAAGCAAGAAATTCAAAACTTATTTGAAATAATAATTAAAGAAAAATTCCCCAATCTGCTGAAGGAAATACGCCTACAATTCCAGGAAACACAGAGAGTCCCAAACAAGTTGGACCCAAAAAGGCCCACAGGAAGACACAGCATAATTAAAATGCCAAAGGTTAAAGATAAAGAGAAGATGTTAAAAGCAGCAAGATAAAACAAGAGAGTAACCTACAAAGGAGTGCCCATAAGGCTATCAGCTGATTTCTCAAAAGAAACATTGCAGGCGAGAAGGGACTGACTAGAAGTATACAAAGAGATGAAAAGCAAGGACCTATATCAAGATTACTCTATCCAGCAAAGCTATTATTTAGAATAGAAGGGCAGGTACTTCCTAGACAAGGTAAAGCTAAAGGAGTTCATCATCACCAAGCCCTTGTTGTATGTAATGTCGAAGGGACTTATCTAAGAAAAAGAATATCAAAACTATGAACAGTAAAATGACAACAAATACAAATATCAACAACAGAATCTAAATAAAGAAAAACAAACTGGGCAAGAACCTAGAACAGGAGCAGAGTCATAGAGGTGAAAATAACACAGAGGGTTGACAGTGGGGAGCGGGGGAGAATAGGGGAAAATGTACAAGGAATATGAAGTGTAGTTGATGGGTACAAAATAGATGGGAGTATTGGGAATAGTATGGGAAGTGGAGAAGTGAAAGAACTAATATGTGCGACCCATGGACATGAACTAAGGAGGTGATTGCTGGAGGCAATGGGGGTACCAGGTAGAAGGGGACAAAGGGGAAAAATCAGGACAACTGTAATAGCATAATCAATAAAATATACTTAAAAGAGATTTATTGCAAAAACATAGGTGTATTGCTTTTGATAAAAACTATGCTCCATATTTCTCCCTTTGTACAATAACTTCTAGTCATCTGCCTTTACTACTGATCATCCATTTCTGGATAAAAATATTTCATCGCAGAATTAAATACTTGTCCTTTTGTATCACGTTATCTATTGGGATTGCTGTAGAGCTTGCACTTCAGTATCTACCCTTTCTAATTGAGGTGGGAAATTTCATACAAGGCATATTGAGTGTGGCAAATTCAGACAAATTCACCACCTTAGGGTACTCCAGTGGCTTCAAAAATACAGGCTGTTATCAATACGTTTTTATGACATGAGGGTGGAATATGGCTTTTAGAGTAATAATTTTGGCATTCAACAATACATTTTCAGGAACATGATATCAACCTTACAGCAGGATATGATGATTTAAATAAGTAGGAGTTAGTATTGTAATTAAAATTAAATCAAGCAGCTGAACATTTTATTTGATTCTAACTGCACAAACTATTACCCTGTAAATCTATTCTCACCCCGCCAACTAGTTAAAGTACACTTTTCAGTGTTATATTTAAGCAAATGATCAGTTTGGCCACAGAGATAATTAATTCTCAGATCTAGTACATGGGTGTAGCAAAAGCAAAAATAGCACATGGGAATAATATGTCATGTTTGCATCCTCTCCCTACCTCCTGCCAACACCATACTAGAATTTGCAAAGACTAAGGTCTTTATTTTGGCTGTAAGGGCACAGAAACGCGCACTCTCCCATTGCTAGCTATATTTGACACAACTCTTCTCTACACATTCTCTTTACCAAGCTTTGTTTATGCTGTTTTCTCTGCCTAGGATGCCTATAGGAGCCAGATGGGTAATATAAATTGATTAAATAGGCTGAGTATAAGACAATAGAGTGTGTTGGGAACTGTGTCAAGCTGCAGGATGTATACCTTTTCCAAAAGGAGCACCTACTACTTAGTTCCAATGAATTGTCACAATGATACCAAAGGTTGATAAATCATCCAACCTTTTAAAGAACACTGAAAAAATCCACATTCCTATGGAAAATGTGTAATCTCACAATTTCAAAAATCTGTCTACTAATTTTTGTAACCATAAGGAGCGAACAACAGTGGTTATAAGTTTCTGACCTGTGATCTAGAAAAATCCTATTCCTTCTTTAAGGCACAGCTTCAGTGCTGGGTCTCTGAAAGGATTTTCTCCACTGATCTGTCTCCTCTGAAGTTCCACCATATTTCTAGTGTCTTTTGTCCAATAGGCTATCTATCAACTTTTTTGTATAGTATGATTTGCTTCTCTGACTTGACTGTAATCTCCTTGAAGGCAGGGACTATATGCCATCTCTAGTGCAGAGCCAGTATATAGTAGCAAGCACTCAATAAAGATCCAATTACAACACAGTCACAATCAGACCAAAATCCCTGGTGAAGCCCAATTCTCTTTCACTAGTTGATTCATTCACAAAACTTTTACAAACACCTATTATACTATAAGCACCATGTCAAGTGCTATGGGCTAACATTAAAAAAAAATATGTATCTCTGTAAAAACTACACTATAGCTCAAAGTGTGCTGCATCACTTTCACATAACTGTTCTAAGACAGAACAATAGAAATGTAACACAAGCCACATACGTAATTTTAAGTTTTCTAATAGGTATGTTAAAAAACTTAAGAAGAAAAAACGTGAGATTACTTTTGACAATAGACTTTAACCCAATAGGTCCAAAGTATTATCATTTTTGAGATATAATTAATATATTTTTAAAATTTAATGATATATTTTACATGTTTTTGTAGTCTTCTAAATCCAGTGTATATTTTACTCTTACAGCACATCTCAATTCAGACTAGCCACATGTCAAGTGTTCAGCAATCACTTGTGGCTTGTGGATACCATATTGGACAGTTCAGCAAGAGGAAGGGAAGCTCCTTACCTTATTGCCAAAATGGGGATTGATAAATAAATGTCACAGTGTCCAAAGTCAGTAGAATTCTGTTGGGCCCTTTAATCAACTGGATTTTATTTATACAATGCCTGAAACAAGCATAATATCAGAGGGTCATAGGGGGCTGGATGTTTTTCAAATCCAAGGTACATTTGCCCTGTGATAGAAGTTAAAAAATACACAAGATAATTGAGGGAATAACCACACTTGGATCTTTACCATAGTGCCCACAACAAAGAGAGGCAGCAACCCTGATCTTCACAAGTTGCAGAGTTACAAAGACGAAAAGAGAAAAGTGAAAATACTATTGAAGAGACATCAAAGGAAGGGATGAAGGTGTTGCATGGGGATAGTATCTGAGACCAAAAAAGCGATGTTCCCACCACAAGAGCACATTCCAAAACATCACTTCTGAATACTTTTAAAGAACTCAACACCCTTTCTCACATGCTAGAGCGTATATTCTAATAATACCAGAGCCAAAAATCATTAATCTCCATTTTACAGACATAAAAACACATTAAGGAAAAAACCAAAATTAAGCAAATTGTGTGAGATCCCCTAGCCTGAGGCAGAGCTGGAACTGGAATCCTTGGTCCTTCGCTGTGGACCCACAGTTCTGCCTACAAGACCACTTGCTTTGCGAAGTTGCATGTCTGCATTGCCAAAGTAGCAGTTTGAAAAGTGGAAAAATTCAATCAGTTGGTTGCTTTGTCTACATGATTCCAGACAAGTGGGCTGACTGGCTTTTTTTTTTCTTTTACTGAATTGTTCTCTTGTCTGAGCATTACATAGACACAGTTTACAACGGATTCTCTCCAAGTGCCTATTAATTTGCAGTGAATGTAACTATTTCTTATAAATCAATTACTAGACACATAGGAGAGTGTATGATGTCTAATCACATAGCCAAGTTGGTCACCTTAGTTGAGCTGATGGGTCAATTTGAGGACTTGGAGAGAATTTTGGATTAGTTCATGTTGGTTGTTTTGTTCTGTTTTGCCTTGTGAGTCTGATAGCTACCATTTGACTTTATTTCTCCATAGGCCCTTAATGGTCACCCTATGGAATGTACTAGACCTGAGTGTCAGAGTGGGGAAAACAACCACTGATCAATGTGCTTTGTCAAGTTGCTTTAAGAAATCTACAGAAAAGAACTGCTTTGGAGAGAAGATGGCGGAGGAGTGAATGGGAGTCATGCTGACCTCCTCCCAAGACCAAACAGGAATTGCAACTAAATAGTGGAGTAATCACCTGGAAAACAATGGAACCATAGTGGAAGAGGAGCCTTGGAGCCGCAGACAGTGGATTAGACTCTCACACATCCCAACGGGTGAGAAGTGCGGTGGAGGCTCGAGAGGGTGGGCTGGGTGCCCACGGGCACTGGCACCAGAGGGACAATGAAACGGCCAGTGAGGTTCCCCCGAGAAGAATGGGGTCTGAATCATAAACAGGGACCCCTAAACTACAGCAGCTAAAACCAAGAAACTACAGACAAAACGCAACCCTGAAAACCTTAGGGGCGCTCTCTGCCAGAGACAGGTGGCTAGGGATGCAAAGAGACATTTAAAGGGCCAACGCAAAAATTGCAGTGGCAGCCACCCTCCTTGATCTCTGGGCAGAGGCGGCAGCAGGGTGGGCTGGTGCCTGGGAAAAGACTGGTGAGGAAAACTTTGTGAAGAAAACTGACACAACCGCCGGTGGAGCCCAGGTGATAACGCACCTCCCAATCTGCAGCTACCATCTCCATCAGGCATAAGGGAATCAATTAACCTGCCCTTTGTGTGCTCTGCACACAGCTTGTGCATGTGAGCTGGGGAACTGTGTGCAGACTGGCTGGGAGAGCCTTGAGGAGAGACTGGACATGGAGGCGTTGGGGAAAGAACGGGAGGAGGAACTGGGGAGTCCCTGCTCCCTCCCCATTCTGTAGTCTCCACTGTGGACAGGAAAGGTGCGACCCCAAAGAGGCAGAAGCAGGGTGCGCATGACCCAGACTGCCTGCTATTGAAACGCAGTCCGCACAAGGGGTGGATCCTTGGCTGATGGGGTCATGGAACTGCCCAGAGGCCCCTGAGGAGAGTCTGGAAATGGAGGCATTGGGGAAAGAACAGGAGTAGGAACCAAGGGAATCCCAACTCTCTCCCCATTCCGAAGTCACCATTGTGTGTAGGCAGGCCACGTCCCCAAATAGGCAGAAGAGGGATGCGCAGGAACCAGACTGCCTGCGATTAAAACGCAGGCCACACAGGTGGTGTATCCTTGGCCGAAGAATCACAGAACTGCCCAGAGACCCCTAAGGAGACTCTAGAAACGGAGGTGTTGGGGAAAGAACTGGAGGAGGAACCGGGGAGTAAGGACTCCATCTCCTTACCTTAGTCTCCATTGCATGGGAAGAGGTCACACCCCCAAAGAGCCAAAAGTGGAAAAGACAACATAGACACCCCAAAAAAACCCAGTGCAGGCGTGCACACTTGCGCCGAGTGACCGGCGAGAGTTGGCGAGCATGTGTGTGACCCGTGAGGGCTGGCGAACGCTTGTACCAGCCAGCAAGGCCTCCCACAGATTGGAATAGATATGGCCTGTGAGGGAGTGCAAAGAGCGGCAAGGGCAGGCGTAAATTGACCGGCCTGCCCACAATTGCGGAGCGGCCCACAAAATTAGTGAATCCCCAGCCAAAGGGGTCACAGAGAAGCCCAGAGTCCCTGGAGGAGGGACCAGAGACAGGATTAACCAGAGAGTCCTGGAGCTGACTTCCTCACACTTCCATAGTGTCCATTTGGCAAGGAAAGCAACATACCCAAAGGGCGAAAAGCGGTGAAAACACACAATACAAGAAACTAAACTGACCAGTGTCGGGGAGGACACCGGCCAGATGGTCCACATGAGTACGCAAGGTCGCGAATAAGCCCCATGGTCTGGAGCAAGCACATGCAAGCCCAGGCGGGCGGGGGATCTTGCCATGCCGGGAGCACGCTAAAGTAGTGGGCGTGAAAGCGCAGACAGATCCCAAAAAATAGCCCAGCCCTGACCGAAGGGGTCACAGAGCTGCCCCAAGCAGGAGTCAGACACAGACAGTACTCTCCTGGAAGGCTCAAACAAACCCAAGGTCATATATGGTCAACAACTGACATCATCAGAGGCAGGCCCAGAAACAAAAGTAAAGGACAAAAATATTTAACAGACTCTCACAAAAATGGGGAGAAAAAGAAGTTCCCCCCAAATGAGTGAAAAACGGGACTCCCCACAGAGACAGCTCAATGAAATAGAGGCAAGGGAACTATCAGATATTGAATCCAAAACAATGGTTCTAAAAAGATCAATGAGCTCAGCCAGCTCAAAGAGAACTATGAGAAACTGCAGAGAAACTATGAGGATCTTACAGCAAACTATATCAACCTGGAAAAGGACATAGAAACTATCAAGAATACACAAAGGATATGAAGAATACCATTTCTGAATTGAAGAACACAGTAGAAGGAACCCAAAGCAGGCTGGATGAAGCCGAGGATCGAATCAGTGAGATAGAGGACAAGGTAGAAAGAAGCTCCCAGAACGAACAAGAAATGGAAAAGGCTCAAAAAGAATGAAGAGGCATTTTGGGAAATGCAGGACAACCTGAAACGCAATAATATCCGTATAATAGGGATCCCAGAAGGAGAAGAAGAGGAGTAAGGGATAGAGAACCTCCTCGCAAAAGTAATGATGGAAAATTTCCCTAATTTGAGGAGAGAAAGGCTCTCATGGATCCAGGAGGCACAGAGGACCCCACTCGAGAGGGACTCAAAGAGGGCCACTCCAAGACACATCATCATTAAAAAGGCAACTATCAAAGACAAAGAGGGAATCCCCAAGGCAGCAAGGGAAAAGGAGAAAGTGACATACAAGGGGACCCCGATACATCTACGAGCTGACTTCTCAACAGAAACACTACAAGCCAGAAGGGAATGGCAACAAATATTCCAAGCCATGAAAAGCGAGGGCTTACAGCCAAGGCTGCTCTACCCAGCAAGGCTCTCAATTAAAATAGAAGGAGATGTACAAAAATACCTTTGATTTCTGAATGTTGACTTTGTATCCTGCTGTTTTGCCAAATTCACTTATAAGGTTGAGGAGTTTTTTGGTAGAGCCTACAGGGTTCTCTATGTACACTATCATGTCATCTGCAAACAATGAGAGTTTTACTTCCACCTTTCCTATTTGGATGCCTTTTATCTCTTTCTCTTGTCTGACCACTGTGGCTAGGACTTCCAATACGATGTTGAAAATGAGCGGTGAGAGCGGACATCCTTGTCGTGTTCCTGATCTTAGTGGGAAAGCTTTCAGTTTTTGCCCATTGAGTATGATATTAGCTGTAGGTTTTTCATATATGGCCTTTATTACATTCAGGAATGCCCCATTTATTCCCATTTTGCTGAGTGTTTTGATCAAAAATGGGTGCTGTACCTTGTCAAATGCTTTTTCTGCATCTATCGAGATGATCATGTGGTTTTTGTCTTTTCTTTTATTTATGTGATGTATCACGTTTACTGATTTGCGTATATTGAACCATCCCTGCATCCCTGGGATGAATCCCACTGGATCGTGGTGGATAATCTTTTGAATATATTGCTGGATGCGGTTTGCCAATATTTTGTTGAGGATTTTAGCATTTATGTTCATCAGCAAAATTGGCCTGTAGTTTTCTTTCTTTGTAGGGTCTTTATCTGGTTTTGGGATCAGGGTGATGCTGGCCTCATAGAAGGAGTCTGGGAGTCTTTCCTCCTCTTGGATTTTTTGGAATAGTCTGAGAAGGACAGGGGTTAGCTCTTCCTTAAATGTTTTGTAAAATTCTCCTGGGAAACCGTCTGGCCCTGGGCTTTTGTGTGCTGGGAGTTTCTTGAAGACTGCTTCAATTTCCCCAGCTGTTATCGGTCTGCTCAAGCTTTCTGTTTCTTCCTCCTTCAGTGTTGGATGATTATACTTTTCTAAAATTTGTCCATTTCATCAAGATTTTCAAATTTCTTGGCATAGAATTGTTCATAATAGTTTCTGATGATCGTTTGTATTTCTGTGTTATCAGTTGTTATTTCTCCTCTTTCATTTCTGATAT